AGCTAAATCCCCGGCCCACCGTGCTGATACTTGTATCAAGTTTTTGTTTTGATTTGTATGTAGCACTAATTCAACCTTAAATTGTACCTCGGGGTGTAAGTTATCTTTAAACCCACCAGATTTTATATAGATTTTATATCCTTAGAGACACCTCTCAGTAGCCTTCTAGTCCGCTTCCCTCTGGAGTGGCTGCTCTTCAGGCCTGCTGCATGGTGTCTTCTTGAGATCTCTTTTCACCACTGTAGAAGTTTGTTTTCTGTTGTTATAACAAAATATCTGAGGCTGGGTATTATTTCTTTCTATCTATCTATCTATCTATCTATCTATCATCTATCTAGATGATTGAGTTTTTTGAGACAGGGTCTCAGGCTGACTTTGAACTCATTATGTAGCCCAGGCTGGCCTTGAACTCATGGTGATCCTCCTGCCTCAGCCCCCCAAATGCTAGGATTACAGGTGTGCACCACCATGCCTGGCTTCAAGTCTTGGGATTTTATAAAGAAAAGAGATTTATTTAGCTCGAAGTTTTGTAGGCTGAAAGTCCAAGGTCAGGCAGCACAATCTCTTCAGCCTCTGGGAGGACATCATGGTGGACTACAGCATGTGATGGGGACTTGTGTGAAAGGGAGCACTCACATGGCACTACAGGAAGCAGAGAGCAGGCCAGGGCCAACCCTGCTATTTTTTTTTTTTTTTTTTGGTACCAGGGATCAAACTCAGGACCTTGGGCTTGTGAGGCAGGCAGTGGCACCACTGAGCTAAATCCCCGGCCCCAACCTTGCTATTTTTATAGCAACTCACGCTCATAGGAACTGACCAGCGCCCCGAGAGAGCTGCACGGGTCCTTTCTGAGGGCAGCGCCACTACCGCCCTCATCCCCTCCCGAGAGGCTTCAGCTCTTGATGGTGCCCGCTGGGGATGCAGCCTTCAACATGGGCACCCTGGGGCCAACCACGTCCACAAGCCACCATGGTTTGGGCATCCTCCTACCTCTCTTGAGTTGGATCCCTCATTTGCCAGATTCCGAATCTTTCTCTTCCTGAAAACATCTTTACATATTTTCCTTTCACACCTAGTTAACAGCTTGGAGAGTTCAAGTTTGGACATCCTGTGTCTCCAGTATTTGGGTGCCCAGTTGTGTCCCCCGCACCAGGACCCCGGAGGAGTCCAGGCCCAGTCGGGCTCCTGACTTGCTCTGGAGGCCTTGGCGTCCTCCCTGGAGTCCTTGGTCTGGATCTGCTTTCATTCACTGTGCTGGGGAACCTGGAAATTCACTTCCTGTGTTTTTCTTTTTGTTTTATTGTAGAATTGTGTATAAAATCCATATGTACAATTTAACAAGATCTAATCTCAACCCATCCTCCCCTGGCGGGATAATCGTTTAGTCCATGTTCATAACACAGCGGGAGCATCACGTGGTGGGAGACAGCAAGTATGCTAGTGGGTATGTCTCTTCCTAATTTTATAGGATGTGTGTGTGTGTGTGTGTGTGTGTGTGTGTGTGTTACTGGAGATTGAACCCAGGGCCGGCTCACTGAGCTATGTCCCCAACCCTCTTTATTTTATTTTTTTGAGACAGGGTCTTGCTAAGTCGCTAAGTTGTCCAGGCTGGGCATGACCTTGTGATCCTCCTGCTTCAGCCTCCTATGGTGCTAGAACTATAGGTGTGTGCCACCACACCTGGCGTGCATATGGATTTCTTGGGTGTCTGCTCATACTTGAGTGTGGAGCTGTTGAAAGCTGACTGAAACTGCACCTGTGGGTGAGCTGCCCGTGGGGCCCTTCACCGGGTGCCACTGGCCACCTCCCAGCAGCTCCTGAGGGCCGCCTTTGGGCCTTTCCCTCGGGTTGCCCACATTCCTTGCAGAAGGCTCTGTTCCTCTCCTCCTGAATGAGCCAATTTTTATGTCTTGTGGCTTCTGCAAAGCAAGCCTGCTGATTTCTCACTTTTTCCAATGCCGGCTCAGATTCCACTTCCTCAGTTCTGGTAAATAAGGCACCACGTGTTCATCTGGTACCTGGTTTAAAAACACTTTTGTTCCTACTGTTTCCTCTCATGCTCGCGGTTCTTGTGGGTTTGTGCACACAAAATCCTCCTGTTGCCACTGATTATGACTTGGGGAGCAACAGAGGTAAATATGTGTGATTCACCCACTATCTTCAACCTGATGCACTCGGTTTCTTCTTTTTATTATTAAATTTTATTTTATTTTATCCCATTCCCCCCTTAACCCCCCTCAGTCTGGTTTCTTTTGAGTAAACTTTTCCTTGAAGTAGAACACAGCCAGACATGGTGGTGCAGGGCTGTACTCACAGCACTCTGCGAGGCTGAAACAGGATGATTACAAGTTTGAGCCCAGGCTAGGGAACTTAGCAGTTTAACGAGACTCTGTCTCAAAATTAAAAAAAAAAAAAAAAAAAAAGGCTGGGGAAGTAGCTCAATGTGAAGGCTCTGGTTCG